AAGGTCCGTTTCGAAAGATTTGCTCCAAGTTTGCGCATTAGTTTCCTCGGAAATTAAACAAGGCATAAAGCGCATTCCTCTCTCATCCTCTTTCCCTCTCTCTTTCTTCATTTGTTCGCACCGGACGTTTTCCAGTCGGTTACACCTGCTGTCCGACGGTGTGAAAACCAAACCGGACAAATTGAGGCCAGAACGCCATTCCCGCTTAACTCACAAGTAAAGCTAACCGCAACATTTTTTCGACATTGGAATCATTATTTTTCAAAGGCTGCCTGGTTCGCATAGTCAATAAGTAAATGAGCAGAGTCCCTCACGCTTGGCCTCAAAAGTTAGCAGATTCATTTAACTGAAATCTTATTCCACACTTTAGACAACATCTGAATGGAAGTATCGAAAAATTCGCTTTTAAGTAGGATATGTCGCTGCCCGCTGGAACCCTTTATGTCCGGGGTCTTATAAGCAGTCAAATGTGACCTTATCGAAAAGTATGTCGAAAGTTTGAGCACAAACCTGATCTTACCCAAGTTCGCAGTTAATTTCTGAGAAACTAAGAAGCAACAAACTGAAAACTCGCTTGTATAGTCGAGAGTATTCTCCTCATAGTATGTATTGTGCGAACGGAAGTCCCTAGAGGCATTTTGCGGACATCCGGAATAAGAATGCTGGCCGGGTAAGCGCCCTGAAGTTAAACATTTGTGACGTATTGACGTAGAAGACCAGGGTGGAGGTGGAAACAGTCACAGCTCGATTCCGGATTGTAGGTCTGAGCTCGTGGTTAGTTGCTCACTATGATCGATGCCCCGCCAGTTGAGTCATTTGGACTGCAACTGGAAGTAATCAGAGTCATGTGGGAATAGCGCCAACTGATCTGCCCAGCTCACAGGACAGTACTACCCCCTTAGCTACCGATTGTTCACCGCTATGTATAGTCGCCTTCAAAAACGCTAGACTAGAGGCTCAAAGTTAAAGGGAGTGTCCTGTCATAATAACTGACGGACTGTTGACTTTGTGATGGCCGTTCCCCCGTTAAATGAAAACGTGCTCAGCTCTATCCCACGAGAGAGTGGGTAAATATGCCTGAAAAAGTCGCTATAAGAGATTCAAAAGTTCATGTTTATCACAACACTACTCAGTCCCTTGTTTCTCAAGGGAAGACGGCGTTCCAGTTGGTGTCGCCTCGACGAAATGTCAATGATTAATGGCGGCATTTTCTGAAAGGCGCCAAACGCCAGCTCTCCCTGCTGTCTTGGTGCATGTATTCTGCTCCTTTTATAAAAAGAATTCTTTGAGGGAAAACTGTCCTTTGAATCAGCTTTCATTTCCGGGGTCTATCAGAAGTTGTCTGTTGAGAGGAGGTGTTTTTCGTAAACCCAGTGGTATCAACAAAAGGCCAAGATGGTGACCAATCCACAAGAACAAAAGGGTACGGATGGCAGCGGGTCATTTAAATATGCATGTCTGGTACGCCGGATACACCCACTTGTGCAGTTTTGTTTACTTCATGGAAAAAAGCACCAAACGTCGACTACAGGCCTGCACCTTCTTCATATCAACTGTTTCCTAAAAACAAATGACTTGCCTGCTCCCTGTCTTACAATGAATGAACATAAGTGATGCGGAATGTGTAAGGTTAACTATACGATTCTGCACTGATCATCACCAAAAGCAAAGTAATTTGAGGATCTTAACACGTCCTCCTTGGCACGTAGGAGTCTGGCTAGTTAGCCTTATGTCATAACGTTTGCATAGTACGCATTTAAACCTGATTTTATACATCTGAACAACTTGCATAGTCTGATCACCCTTGTCTTTCACTGGAGGTAGTTGCAACAATGTCCTTTGAGCGCTCCTTGGTATTCGGTCAGACATCTGGAAAACTCCCTTGACAACACACTAATATTCAGCTGCTTATTGTCGAGCTGAGACATCTGTGTATACCCCTTACTATGAACTCCGAAGTTTTCGGTCAATTCGCACTGTTGCACAGAAGCCTGTCTAGGCAGACCGAGATGACAGCCTCTTGGCGACTGGTAAGACCTGCGAATCTGAACTTCTCTGTTAACTTTCTATTGAATGGCAGGCTAATGCAAGCCGTCCTGGACTTAAGAAGAACAATCGGTTTAAAGTTCTCGGAGGACGGACTTCCCAGACACTGTTGGTCAAACATATGTTTAGATTACGTGTCAAAGTAAGTGCCAACATTGTACCGCCTTATTTCAGCAAATTCCGAGCAAAAAAGTAAGAATCAAACGCACATGAACTGTGCGGGCGAACTATACCGATCATACTCTCATGCAAATAGGAAGATGAATAGCAAAATATCCTAGCAAAAGCCCCCTAACTTGAAGTACGGTAGGTTGTACGTCGCTAAATGTATTTGGAATTAGATTTATTTTCTAGAATTCCTTTCTCGAAGGCAGGTCATGAGTGAAGGCGCATACGACTGTCTTGATCACCGCAGCTTAATGCCAGCGGCAGCAGACTACCCGAAGTCCCAATGCAGCGGGCGAAGTTGTTGGTGTAGCGCAATAAATTTAAACGAGTTCGGTGAGCCACGAACTAAAAATGTTAGCATAACATTCATTTTGATGATCACAACGAGCTCGTCATCTAAATGCATCCAAAGTCACGTGCGCCTGACATTCTCCGATTTATGCTACTTCCTGCTTAGTATTCAGACGTTCCGAATTAACACGGAACTTCAGTTTTGATCTCCGGTCTCATAGGGGGCCGCATACTACTGACTTGTAGTTGTAAAACAGTGATCCAGCAGCGTAAAGGCAAACAGCTTACAACTTCGGCATCTCTAAACCGAGGATAATTTGAGTTGCAAGCGACTGCACATGCATGCCATCTGATGACGAGTTCTACTAGAAATGTTATAAGTAAGTCGCCCACCATTGCGTCTATGTCGCTATCGCCGTTCTCAAATAACTGTTCTGTTACGAAGTATCAATCTTTCAATGAACCGCTGCTTTACAGATGGCTGAAACGTCACTACGAAAAATCGTGAGTAGCTCGAAGTCACCTAGTAATCAGCACAGGAAAGAAACCTTCCATTCGCCGCTGCAGGAACTGCTTGAAAAACTTCCTCATTGTAAGCTACTGATCGTTGTCAGGGGCTTCGGCTGCCGTAGACTTAGTTCTCGATGCGACAGTGGTGAGAATACTACTGTGCATATCGGGATCGGCTAGTGGCGTCCAGTACTGACATAAACATCTGTCGACTTACTATCGAAACGTTGGCTGTGCAGCCAATCCGACTGGCTAGATTCTAATCTTGTCCCAGAGATCGCGTCTCCTTCTTCAAGATTCAAATCTGTTGACGGTTCTGCAACTGTGTTCATGATAGCAGATTGATGTGTGGTTCTGAAAATTTTAACGCCATGGAGCAGACCCTGTCTCCGTTCCCTCACGTCTGTAGGTTAGTCTTAAAACAACAGTCAGGTTGTCACGGTCTTAACGTCAAAAACTACAAAAATCCAGCACCGTTAAATCATTCGGCACATAAATCCGTCCTCACGTTACAATTAAGCTCAAAGGCCTATGAGGTAACGGCACCGCAGTGACTGTGTCAGAGGCAGCATTTTGCAGTTATCCGTCCAGACGGTCCGAGCTAGGTCTCGCAACAATAATTTTTGCTGATAGAAGCGAACAGGCGAGTCCCAGGTAGCAGTTCAGAAGATGATGTCCCAGTGATCGCATCTTCATCTTCTGAACAATAATTTTCCCAAATTCCAGAAAATGACCGCAGAATAGGCTAGGTAACGCCGTAAAACTACTGGGCTGAAGTAGCGGTCTCTGTGGAGTAAGTGACACTCAAAAACTAATAACGGTAATTCACAAACGAAGGACGCACAAGACCCGTCGGCTATTAGCCTAGACGATCGATTAAAAACCAGACGTATTTGACTGTCACCCGCATCGTAGTCAAAGTTGACAAAATGATTAAAAGCCCAGGACACAAGAAAGCTCAAGGCGGAATTAGAATGGAGACTGACGTATTAACCAGTGTTAGATTCAAAGTGAGTGATCCACTGTCTGCAGTAGTCACCAGTTGTGCATGAATTAATCCATGGACAGTTCTATAAGCCCAACCCTAAAGTGATAGCTGATATTACCTCGGCCGCGCGATGTCTGTGTGCAACTAATGAGAACCAAAGCATAAAGAAATAAGTCAAATTACATCTAGAGGTTAATTACTGAAAAGAACTCCCAACAATCGTCGTTCTGTAAAACGTGACACGAACTAACTACGAAAATGGAGAAAACCTCACCAGAGAAGAATCAGGATTCACTAGTTCGTTACGTAAGAACAATTTCGAGTAGTCTTATCGTGAGCAGTCTAACCCTGGGCTAATTAAACCGAGGGACAATCTCATGCGGTTTATCTTATCTCGTATTTAAACTCCTTATACGGATCAGACTGAACGCATGCCGGGGTCAAACGCGCATTAACACATGCCGGCTATGCGGAGAATTGGCAGTCGGCAACTTTGAAGTGGGTCCAAGAGCCTACTTCGTAACCGCCAAAATAATTGTTTATAACTGGAGCACTCAGAGCCAACATTTGATTGAAGCGGGTTTGAGGCCCACAAAAGCAACCCCGGGCAGTGGCCTTCAAACCTGCGGCACTGGTCGTTGTTCGGTTAGTTACCTCTATATCTCTCGCCCGTCCCTCCGCTGCTGTCATCTCCAGCGACGCACTTCTGTAAGAGTTCGAAAACTCGACCTCGCCCCATTCCTTAACCATATATAAACCTTGAAATTTTGAAAACCTCCACTTGTAAAAATAACATTTCTACAATTATAATGAATTTCCCTGCAAACCCACCCCCTCCACCAGCAGATACGGGCTGTTGCCGACCCCGGGTTACCGGGAGGACTCCCTAGCTGAGCATAAAAACCTGCAGATTGTGCCGAAAAGTCTGGCCACCAGGACGAAGAATAAAAAAATATATTTGACTAGAAATAAAAATTAAGTCAAAGCTGCGAGGGAATTAGTACTCTTCGTCCTCATGTATATTCGCACTGTCTTCACCGACTTCCTCGTAGTCCTTTTCAAGTGCAGCCAGGTTTTCGCGAGCCTCAGCAAACTCACCCTCTTCCATTCCTTCCCCGACGTACCAATGCACAAAAGCCCGCTTAGCATACATTAGGTCAAACTTGTAGTCAAGGCGAACCCATGCCTCGGAGATCGCCGTTGTATTGCCGAGCATACAGACTGCACGGGAGACTTTCGCTTGATCTGCACCTGGAACAACTGTGGGCGGCTGGTAGTTGATGCCAACTTTGAAACCAGTAGGACACCAATCCACAAAATGGATTGCCTTCTTTGTTTTTATGGCCGAGATGGCAGAATTGACATCCTTAGGGACGACATCGCCGCGGTAAAGCAGACAGCAAGCCATGTACTTGCCACGGCGAGGATCACACTTAACCATTTGGTTGGACGGTTCAAAGCAGGCATTTGTGCTTTCGGAAACGGTAAGTTGCTCATGATATGCCTTCGCGGCTGAGATAACTGGGGCATATGCTGTCAGGGGAAAGTGGATGCGCGGATAGGGTACTAAGTTCGTCTGAAACTCTGCAAGATCGACGTTAAGAGCTCCATCGAAGCGTAAAGAGGCTGTGATTGAACTGACAACTTGGCTGATGAGTCGATTTAAATTGGTGTAGGACGGTCGTTCAATGTCAAGGTTACGTCTATAATGGGCGTTAGCATTATGAAAAAGATTACCGGCAGATGTCATAAATGGCCTCGTTATCGACCATAAAGGAACAATCAGAATGCTCCAGCGTCGTATGGGTTGTAAGGACAGAATTATACGGTTCGACGACGGCTGTCGATATTCGTGGGGCAGGATATATTGCAAACTCCAGCTTAGACTTCTTTCCGTAATCCACGCTGAGTCGCTCCATGAGGAGAGAAGTGAACCCAGATCCGCTGCCACCGCCGAAGGAGCGGAAAATAAGGAAGCCCTGAAGTCCAGAACATTGGTCAGCCAGTTTCCGAATGCGGTCAAGGACGAGATCAATTAGCTCTCTTCCAATGGTATAATGACCTCGTGCATAATTATTTGCGGCGTCCTCTTTACCGGTAATCAGTTGTTCGGGATGAAACAGTTGTCGATAGGTGCCGTTTCTGACTTCGTCGATCACAGTGGGTTCCAGGTCTACGAATACCGTTCTTGGGACATGTTTTCCAGAATCACTTTCGCTGAAGAAGGTGTTGAAAGAATCACCACAGCTCCCAATGCGTTTGTCGTCGGGCATATGTCCGTCGGGTTGAATGCCGTGCTCTAGGCAGTAAAGTTCCCAGCAGGCATTGCCCATCTGGACACCCGCCTGACCAATATGAACGCTAATACATTCCCGCTACAAGATTAATAGATAAACAAATATGGTCTTACCATGGTTTAATGGAATCAAATGTCGACCAGCCGAGGGGTAGGGGATTGCACATTACGCAAGAACGCACCTGAAGCACTTTTATATGTTGCGCCTGAAATAATTAACCAATAACCCTCTCGGGACGCGAACGCTCAAGGTTGCTCAAGGACAGTTAATGGATCATACAAAGAGCAGACGGTGGCCGGTCAATTATTTTTAATAATCGAAGCTAATTGTACAAAGAATATCGAATACGCCTAAATCTACGTGAAAGTTGCAGTGCGTTTAGTATTAAGATAAGAAATAATAAGAAGAGCGGAGAAATAGTCGGGAGGCAAAGGACCCCGAAATTCGGTGGCATTTTCTAATCGTGATTCACACGATAAAAAGCCCGTATACAGCATTGGAATGTTCTGCCAAAACCTAGCAATTTCTGATTAGAGAGTGCGGTCCTGAGCAGTGTAACTGGACAACAGTAAGCTTTCTTAGGCTATGATACGGTAACTGGCAAACGTACGTTTCCAGTAACTTACCACGAGCCATACGCAGTTTACTATTGAATGAAAATGATTCGTGGTCATAGTTGACAAATATCCCGGGGTTTGATAAATTTTCTCGCTCCCACGCCGCCGACATGGCGAGATCTGTGTTTGGACATGAGCTTTGTAAACTGTTCATGAAGGCAGATGAACACAAAATGTGTATTAAGAATCTGGAAACGATATCTAATGACATTCGAAGGATACAAACAGAGGTGCGTGCAGAAAAAAACGACGGAAAAGGGAAAAGCATACTAATGTCTTATCTAATTTTCGACGTGTGTGCGAGAATTAGCCGCAATTTCCCGATATATGCAAAATTACGGTTGGGGGCATAGCGCTCTTTGGATTGGTTTTGGTTCCGATGATATACTCTGGTGTTTCTTAAAAAGTCTGCCCATGTCACCGGGCATCTCATCTTAAGGGATAAGTTATCGGATTCTCTTCTTAAATCTTTCATTTTAGTGTAGACTAACCACATTTTAGTAAGGCGTGCTTGCGTCAACTCTGATTTGCCTCCGATATAAGGCTAACTAGATATCTGCCTTAAACGTCGATTTTGAAGGCGCTGAGACTTCCTGAGTTAGATAATTTTACGAAGCCTCTCTCCGTCTACAGTCTCCAGAATTGCTACGTGACTGTCTGCAACGATGTTTATTGGCACTATATCTCGTTTGATCACTATGCAGCCGTCTTGAGAAGGTAACGCAGAATTCGAATTGCAAAATATTCTTGGTTTTGGCGTCCTCTCCTGGAAGCCTTAAAGTTACTGGCAGTAAAATATTAATATATACTAGGATGCCCCAAGTTTTGATTGACTGATATTTTACCGTGTAACAGCAATAGTGCATTCATACAATATAGCATCTACGCTGTTACCGTTATCAAAGTTCGTGCTCAGGGCATTTAGCTCTGTCAGAATGATTTTTCGTACATGATCTTCAATCTTACAATTCATGTTTGCAGTGAAGACGTAGAAATATATTAGAAAGTACAAAGAAAAATAACAGGAGTCTATTCTTCTAGATGATGCTGACAAAACTATCAAGGCTATTTAGGCAGTAAAATGGTTCAACTTGTATCGATCTCCGACTAAATATTGAGGGGGAAAATCTCTATGTTCTGAGACATGAGGGTTGATACACAGGGTTAAGTAGCCCACATGTGGTCGTTTCGTGACTATAAAATGCCGCACAAATCGAATATGTTATATTTTGAGAAAAGAGGGCATGATCACACCAAACATAATGCGTAGGCGAAATCGCCAAGTGGATACGTCCGCACTTTAGATGTTCAAGCGACCCCTTTGGATTAGTGTGTGGTTTCGTCATGTCTGCTGTACTACCGGCAGGATGTTAAGTGCTGTGGGCAACTGTAGGGAGGGGGGTGAAGGGGTCCTGGTGTGGAGGGAGATGGAGACAGAGACAATGAGAAGGGAGAGGGGTGTTACGGCAGGCAGCGATGTATGAAATGCTGGCAGCTATGAAAGAAGGGACACCGCCAATAATCACGGACGCGAGTTTATACCGATCATGTCCTGAATCCCCGTCAAAAAAGGACATCAATCCAATCAAACGACTATGCCGGCTTCGTGGCGCATCAGAGAATGCATGGCGCCAGTCCCCTGGACTTCGACTTGAATGAAAGTTGGCATTTATCATGCAAGATTAAGCGGTGGGTATAAAATGACTGGGAAGACTTAGAAGTGCCGGAGGGATAATGGCTGAATCTGGGCGTTGTCCGGGTCCGTATGTTGTAATCCGTAAAGCATTGTCTTGGGCACCAAAAATGTCCTTGTTTACGTAGGCGACTTGGTGAGTTCCCCTGAACAAGCTGATTAACTGGTGCGAAAAGTGTATAGCCATTAAATAATATTCGCATTATTCTCGTAAATAGAGGAGTCGTCTCTTTCATAAGGTGATTCTTTCTGCGATTAGGACTTATCGTGCGAGTCATTTGCTCTAAGTATTAAAGGAACGCGTTGGGTTAGCAAAATAACTGCGTCTGTACCGTGCTCTATGAGGTTGTCATCGTTCTTATGGACGGCGCTTATTTGAGCCTCACTATTTCGGTGAATGCGCGGGAACTTAAAACATAGGACCAGCCAATTTCTGTAGGGGCTTTTACTTATGATATCAGGATTCAGACCCCATTCATCTGTAAAACTTCCAAACGACCTGCACCTGCATATTATGCTAACGATTACTTTGTTAACGGATGTTTTTGATTCCGCTTGTTGTCCATATTTATTCATGTCTGTGGAGACGTGTAAAATTAGTGACGACGCTAGCGGAAACAGTTGCAGTGCTTATGTTGTAGGTTATTCGGCACGCCTTTGCGTCTGAAACATACCTATGTTGCAAATTACGCAAATGCGCCAGAAAAATACACTGAATGGCAGTTAAAAGAAGGAAATGGCAGTTGGTCCCATGAAATGGCACTGTAAACCAACACAGTTAACTTTAGTACACGCATGTATCCTCTAGAATGTGCGCAAGTTCGTTCGCCCATATATTTTGAAGCTGATGAGCAAGTGTTGTCAACCTCCTTTCCATATTTCCCCATTTCTCCGCTATTACCAATTAAAATGTTGCCACCTGATCTAGAGACTCTCGAAAAGACATAGGGAAGTCAGCATCCCTTTTTCGCCCTAATTAATCCATCGGGTATCTACAGTGCGCGTGGGTTTGATTAAAAACAACAGACGTATAAGTTGCTGTTTATATATTCTAGCCCAATTACGTGTTTATTTGAAGCAAGTCCTACGCAAAGCCTTTTAGCGGCAACGCATAGTTCTTTTGGTCAAATAATTGAGGCGGATCTCAAAACAAACTGGGGGAGTAAGTTCATGTTTTCGTGATTGTTCTTGAAAGTTCTGCCATTATTATGGCCTAGGGGTGTACACCCGTGAGCTGTACACGAGATACGACGGAAGAATGGACGCAGGTAACTTACGATTTTATAGGATCTCGGAGAATCTGTGAGATGGGACTATCAAATCGTTTGACCAGGCGCTAACTGGTAGATATTTTTCGACGTCGTCAAACTATCAAATGAAAAAATGCTGCAAACTTCAGCAGGCGTGGCTTGCTGATATGTGAGCAGATATATTTCAGAGTTTCACTACGTGTTTGGTGCTGATACGAAATGAGTTTACTGTCAGCTTCCATATTACCCATCAAATTTTGATTTTATGGAATCTATGCTCCAAAAGCAGATCTCCAGGAGTATCCGCATGAACTAGGCATTAGTGCAGAATGTAACATGCCCCGCCAGCAGAAGACAAATTTTTCGAGGTACATGCACGAAGCTTTGCTGTAAGTGATGAGACACAACGACTGTATCATTGATTCTGACGGAACATTTTAATGTACCCTCGGCCTTGGTGATACGGTTTATAAGACACACACACGGGTGTCTTCCGCTCTTTACGAAAGTTGCCAGCCTAGTTAACGGTGACTGGTGATGGATCGAAATCGTGAGAATTCTATAAGAAGTTACCTGTCAATTAATTCCATGGCCTCATTCAGAAAGAGGTTGGCGGCTTACCTTTTCTGGCCTACCGTCCAGTTTCCTGTGCGTAATTCAAATTTAATCTACGCGACACATGAAACAGGAGCTTTCTTTACGCAGTATACGTCAGTTGAGTGCCGCATGTATATAAAGGCTAAGACAGGAGCATTAATATTCGCGAAAAGCCTTCTTCCTAAACCTATGAACCACACTAATGAATCAGCCAGTAAATGCCGCAGGAAAGACAGTACGTCTTCCCTCCATTTCTGGAGTCTGATTGCATGCATACTGTATGGGTACTACGAAATGTAAGAGAAAGTGTTTACGAAGGACTATATGTGTAATGGACAGCCATAGTGGCGACTTTGCGCCTCTAGCTAGCGCCTGCACCTACGCCCTAGCGACAGCCTTCTATAGCAAGCTCGTCAGCCCACCTTCGATTTGTCTCGTTGCAATTCACTGTCTGCACCACGCATCTGGTCGATACTCTGCCTGCACCATGCGAGGCTTGTCACTACCCTTGCGTAGGCTGGGAGCCAATCAACGCAACTCCTCTCGCTGATTGGTAACGCAGGACGGAACAGTCCAGTCCACTAGCGTAAACAATCTGCCACGACACTTTTACAGCGGCGACCTTCGGCGACACACGACTCGTCGCTCTCGCGGACGCCGCTTCCGCGGCGCCGGACGCATCCTCGTCCGGTTGCCACCTTCCCTTCATTATTCTGTACAGAACAAATAAATCATGTTCCTTTCAAACAGGCGTCCCGTTTCTAACAACTTGGGATATGGCCTGAAGTTGTGGCGCACTGAGCATATACCATCACCGCTTGACCGCTACATATGTAAAGATTCTGGTCCAACGACACTAGGTACTTGCAGGCATTATGAGTAACTTATGAAATTCTTTGCTGTAAATCAAGTTTCCCATTGACGAAGTTGCATTTGTTATAGAAATTCACAAGCATTGC